ATCTTTGTCCTTTGAAAAAGTTCGTAAACATATTTTTCACTGCCCAAGTATCGTCTTCTCTGTCTTTCTTTCAGCTTCTATGTCTAGAAAATATTTTAGATTCCCAAGATCCTTCATTTAAAAAATGAATTAAAAAGAACTTAAATGTGATTCACTTTCTTAAGTGAGCTGCTCGTGAGTGTAATATCATCCACATAAAGTAGTAGAATGATAATATCTCTTCCATCATGCTAAATAAATAAGGTGTGGTTTGCTTTGAGTTATTTGAAATTCATACCTCCTTCCTACCTTACAAAACTTGTAAAACCATGCTCATGATTCCTGCTTCAGCCTATATACTCATTGATTTAGTTTGCATGCCATGGCCTTTAGATTTCCTTTGCTATATCTGATTGGCTGCTTGAAACACACTTGTTCTTTCAGGTCCCCATGTAGAGATACATTTTTAACATCCATCTGGGAAATCTCCCAATCATGGGCTAGTGCAAGGATAGAATGACTAACTATATTTATTTTCATCCAAAATTTTAAGGTTTCATCATAGTCTAGTCTGTGGTACTGATTAAATGCCTGAACCCTTTGCAACTAGCCTCGCTTTGAACTGCTTAACTGAGCCATCTACCTTATACTCTATTTTATACACCCATTTTAGTCCCACAACATTTTTTACTTTGTGTATTGGGACAGTCACATGTATTCTAAATTTATGTACCGCTTGAATCTTCTCATTCATTGCCTCTATCCATTTCATGTTCTTCACAACTACTTAATATGAACCAGGCTCTTGCTCTTCTAGAATTTCGTTCAAGAAAACTTGATGTTCAATGAAGAGAGAATCATGACTTACCCACCTTTCTATTGAATGCTAAGTGCGGGCTTATATCTTGAATTGATTTTGATCCCTGACAGCTGTATTATGAGGTACTATATTCTTGATTTGATTGTTTTTAAGTATTAAGGTATGTGTAGGGTTCTTCCTCATGGGCCTCTACTTCATCATCATCATCATCATCATCTTTCTCCTTCTCTAAGCCTTATAAGAATCGTGTTTCACCATTCCACTCTATGAAGGCCCATACCCTCAGTTAGAGCATAAGTTACCATGTTCTTCTCACTAATTACATCCATGTCCTTGTAGGCCTTCCACATGAACCTAATGGCCCCCCTAATTGGTGTCGGTCTAGGTTAACGCTGCATATGTCCAGACTACCTATCTACTTTCCCTCATCTTATCGCCTATTAGAGCCACCTCTATGTTCCCTCAGATGTATTCTTTCTAAATTTTGTCCTTTTTTGTCTTGCTGCTGATTTATCTCAACACTCATTCTATAGATATGTTGTTTCTTGAGCACCCAATATTTTGTCCTATAAAGCATTGCTGGTTCTATAATTCTCTACTTCATTCCCATACTTGTGATGTCTTTTATGGACTGCTGCCTTTTATTTCTTATTTTATCGACTATCAACTCTATGTCACGCTTCTCATGTGTTGTACTTTGATCTTTGTCATATCTTCTACTAGCTGCTGCTTGTAACAAGTTCAAATCCCATTTGTTGGCAATAATTTATACGAGCTGCTGGTGCACAAGAAATAATTAATTTTAGGTTCTTAGGAAGCAACTTGAGTCTCTCCTTCATTTGATAGAAGTTTTGGAGGACAATGCATTTGGTTTTCATTGCAGGTAACATTTCGTAAAATCGAAATTTCTTGGTTCTTGGGCAATAACAGTGATAACCTTTGTGCATAATGCTGTGGCACATGAATGCACACATTTCAGTTTTCAATATCAATTTTATTGCTTTGACTTCCATCCACATGAGATTAACAAAAGCATCCAAAAACTCATAGCATGCTATATTGAGAGAGAGAGAGAGAGAGAGAGAGAGAGAGAGAGAGAGAGAGAGAGAGAGAGAGAGAGAGAGAGAGAGAGAGAGAAGAA